ATATAATTGATGAAGATTTTAATAATATATATATTTCAAACAAAAGAGATGTGATCTATGAAAGTTCAGTTGTGGTGAATATGATATTTTGCTTTAATCAAGGATCATGCTATAGTTCTGCTTGTTATAACACTAAAAAATATGATTATTATCAAGATATATAACATATGCCGTGGTTGAAGTAAAATTATCTTGATTTCTAGCACAATTTGCATCCGATAAGATATATAAATTTAGAGATCGGTCATGATGAATATGTAATAATACAAAGTATTCTTCAAATATCATAGTAATAGTTTTGTAGTAGCTCAATGTATTTCTCTAGGATTATGCATAAACCTCACAAGTTTATTTACAAAATGAAGTATCTAAATGTGTAAGAGATAGATATTTTATAGCTCTACCAACACTTCGATATTGAGTGACATATATAGAAAAAGATTTATCCAAGTAAAAGATATTAAAGTAGACAATAAAATTTGTACTCCTTTAGCACTTTGAAAATGTTTACTCTTTTTTATCAATAAGTCTCTAATGTATTTATGTCGATGAAGAAAATTTCCTTTTGAACATTGAATACCTCAACACCCAAGAAATAATGAAAGTCATAAAAAATATTTTACAGTGAACTTGTGTGAGAGTGCTGTAAGAATTGGTCGAAAAAGGAATATATTATTGCTTATGATAATGAGATTATTAATATATATAAGAAAAAATATCATGTGACCATCGCAAGAATAAATGAATAATGATATATCATATTTAGAGTTGGTAAAATCCTAAGATACAAAAAATTATTTATGTTCATTATACAATACTCCGAGTGCATACTGGAGTCTATATATTGCTTTATATAGTCGATAGACGTAAGATAAGCATGTTACATCAATAAATCCCAGGGTTGTTACATAAATATATTTTCGTCGAGTATTATATGAAGAGATATTATTCACATTAAGTTGATGAAGCCTCCAACCATGATTAATAGCTAAGGAAATGCCCACTTGCACTTTAGTTGGTTTAACAACCAAATGAAATACTATATGATAATCAATTCTAGAATGTTGGTGAAATCTTTTGGCCACAAGTTTATATCACTCTAAAATCTCATTTTCTAGGGTGTTGGTGAAATCTTTTGGTCACAAGTCTGTATCACTCTAAAATCTCATTTGAAGGAAATCGTTTAATATGAAAGACTCGTTTAGATACTATTATACTCTAAGACGATCAAAAGGAATTATATCGCAAGGACTATTTTTATATCCCAAGTTTAATCAAACAATTTATTTTCTTGTTTTTCTCATACAATTAGTCATAAATTTTCTTTCTCTGCTGGTGTAACTTATTCACAGTTCATCTTTTTTTTGTGGACCAGATGTCAGCTAATAATTTCAGAATTATGTTTTCCTTAGCAAAAGATTGATTGTGTTCTCTGAGTGGCATCTTGTAAATGTTGCTTCTGTTTGGGATTACATGTTTATTGGAGAAATTCTCTTGTAATTTCATCTAAGGCCTTAATTTCTTTTATTAGTTGATCTCTTTTGAGCTAAGTACCTATGAAAACTAAGTGCTGATTTTTTTCTGAGATATCAAATTTTTATCATATGTCAGATGATTCAGAATCTAACTGTTACTGCCACTGATATAGTAAAAAAGCATCTACCCAGATGCTTGTTCTTGACCTTTTCTTTCTTCTTTTGAAAGGATAAAACTCAGTTATTTTGACCTTAGATTTGTTGTGACTTAAGCCTTGTGGTTGGGATGCACCTAACATAACCTTTTTGCTCGATTGATCGATCATATATTGCTATAACTACAAGTTATAATTCATCTGTTAATCATCTTCAGATCATCATCCTTTTCGACAAGTCGAAGAACCAAGTTTCTACCAAAAATCATAACAAGTTGTTGCTCAAGTTGGCAGTTCCAGAGCTGCTTGAGACCTTTTTAACCAAAGCCTGATTTATCATTCATCAACGTTTTGATCGATCCTTTCAAACTCGAAGGTTGTCTCTGGATTCCCCTATCAGACTGTCCTTGACATGATCAGGAAAAGAAAACCAAGCCATAAATCCTCATCTCAAATCACTAAATTGAATTCGATCGAACAGTAGATATCAAGGTCATAATTGTTTGTTCATGCTGTCTTCCACTCAGCACTACAAGCCATATCTGTTGTATTTGGAGGCCATGCTTGACAGGGACAAGAATGAGGCCTCACAACTAAAAATTGGTTGTGAACTATCAATCACTGAAGTACTTATCAAGCATAAGGATGGAGGCTTTGCACACTCAACTTCAAAATATTTCATGTTTGAGGCATATCTTTCTGTGGTTTTTGGGGCTATTCCCAGGATGGGGCTTGGCAACTAATGATTGTTAGGGCACTGTCAATCACTGCCTGCCCTGACAAGGATGAGGATGGAACATTGTAACCAATGATGTCTATTAACTACCCATCAGAGTTTCTCTTGCTAATTTTGATGATTTCCTAAATGTCTTTGCCAGGGAAGCTGAATGATTCCATGGATTTATGACTTTTAAGAACAAGCAACCTTAATCTATAGGACATGGCTTTTATTACATGGGTGGATGCTTGGGAGGGCAAGATAACAACTTATGTTAGACATGGAGTCGACCACAATTATGTTCAGCTTCTGTGAGGGCAGCTTCCAAGGTTAATGAGCAGAGCAAAGTATGCTATGAAAGGATGCTCAAACTGTAAGAAGAGATCCAAAAAATCCTATGATTTAGGGACAAACAAAGGTTCCTGGATGAGTCATACTCTTAAGGCAGTAGAATTTTCTCCCCTTGTTGGCAACCACTTCTGCAGAGGTTACACAAAGCAGCAGCTGGTAGCAGCATTGACCACCCCTTTGCCACAAGTGTAATTGATGCATATGATATATATCAAGATCTGAAAAATTGTCTTAATGGATAAGGTAATGGAATCATTAACCATGCAGCTTGACTCTAAAGTATGATGGTCTGAGGAGGATCAATGTACATGACTTCAAATTTCTGGACTCTTGCAAGCAGAAACAGTTTTTGCAATTTGGACTCTACTGTGATTGAAGTTTCAATGTCATCGACTCAAATCATGCTAACAGGTAAGTTGTAGCCCATTTCCCATGGCAGAAGCTGTCTCTAAGACTCGAATGATGCAACAAAGGCTAACTAGTTTGCTTGTTGAATAGCTAATTATTTGGAAGAAAAAACTGGGTAGACATCTTGAAGTATCTGACAATGGTTAATGTGTATCAACCTGAGAAAAATCAATCCAAAAAAGATTGTACAGAAAACTTCGATACATCCGGTTAAAGATTTTGGTAGGCGCATTTAAACCAGGCTAAAGGAAGCACAAGTCTATCCACTGGGACAACCCTGACATTAGTCTTATCAGTCTTAAAGATGTAGAAGAAGCACAGTGGTAAAAGTTAGCAATGTGTAATGAAGGTTCTTGTCCTGAACATACAGTCGGGCATTCATTTGAATTCCATGATGACAAAGAAAAAAGACTACATATATGTTGGAAAATTGGAGAAGGTTGGATATTAATTACTTGACAGGGTTGTTGGATGGTCAATTGTTCCTTCTGTCAGACTGCTTTCCAGCTTCCCTATACTGTCCTGGATGGATTCAGAAGCTGATGGCAAGTCAAATCTCCATTCCTCGTCTTTCCTTGTGTATGTATGTAAGCTTATGGACTGGACATTGAAGTTGTGGATGGCAAACAAGAACCTACCATCTACATGAATGCTCTCTTTTGTACAGTAAATCATGCACCCAAGTGGTCTTTGTCCATCAAGGTTGCTGGTGTTTTGAGATGCTTGTGGACCTCCAGTTGGTGCCATAAAGATTAGTTCATGTATGGGATTCAAGACCAAATCTTATTCTAATAAAAGTACTATTGACTTTTTCTTTGACTCTTTGTTTTTTGTTGGGAAGTAGCTGTTCACGTCTGTTGCACTGGAGAGTAACTCACACAATATCAGTATCTTCATGGTTGCACTGTAGTGGGTTTAGACAATGGTCCCAATTTGACATTGATGTTAAAAGTAAGACAATGAAGTAAATTAATTGGTAAATGTGTCAATTTTTGGTGGAGGAACTTATATTTGTCCAGTGGACAGAAGGTTCATGAGAAGTTGGTGCACTATCAATTGTTTCCTTCCCTCCACTGCAGCTCAAGTGTTTGACTTCAAGATGAAGATGCAGATGCAGATGCTATATATCAACCTAGAGCCAAGAGTCCACTAAATATGAACCCAGCAACCAGATTGACTACTGGGTTCATAGCATCTTTCCATGGTAGCATTTGGTTGTGTAATAATCACCCATCAAATAACTGATGGCAGAAAGATTCTCATGTGCAAATCTGACAGGAAGACATCACTGTGTCTTTGTGGCAGCTTCTGCCAGACAGACTCTTCCCAACTCCTGCAGGAGGGAAGCCCACATCATTCATCAGATCCTCTGCCTTCCACCAACAATATATAAGATGAAAAGTACCACTTCGGTAGGATCCAAGAATGGCCCCCCCCTTTCTCCTTGTTTTGTCTGTAGTTACACTGCATAATATTCTCCTGCTTATAATTCATTTACCTTCCTCACACACACATCATTTCATCACGAAAAAAGCATCACCTCACGAAATGAATATGATGAAAAGTGTCTGCTTCTCGTTTTGTCTGTAGCTGCACAATTTACTTCACCATCATTCACCAGTCTCAGCGTTCTTGAATTAAACACCAGAAAGCATTGCCCAAATAAATGACAAGTACAACATTAAATTTAACACTGACCACTCATCTCATCTCTCCTTGCTCTCTGTATCTGCATTACATATGATTTACATCTTTATTATTTTTCACTTTTATTTTCTAGAATTTCTCATATCTGATATTGTTTTCCAAAGAAGAAAATGACTTGACCTCTCTGCTTTGCTTAAATATCTCTCAAGTCTCGCATGCTTTTGTAGTATCTCTAATTCACAAAGCCCAAAAAGTTCTCTTTTTTTCTTCTACTCTGTAGCACTACAACATCTTCTACTCATACCCCTCTTCTCAATCTCTTGAACTCTACTCCTCCAAAAATCCTAGTCCCGACCCAACACAAGGAGGTAAAATGGCGAAGACCATGTCCTCTTGCACCTAAGAAGCAGCTTGTGCTCTTCTCTCTTTCTGGGAGTCGTCATCTTTTATACCGAGAAAGAGGAGGGAAGTTGGCGGTGGATAAAGAAGGTGGCGGCAGGCGGAAATGGCAAGGTTGGGAATGCAAGTGGCGTTAGGAACTAGTGCTTTGCTTCAAGAGCTTGAGGTGCAAATCTCTTTCTCTCTCTCTATGCATGCTTATGTTTGTTCTCTTTTTTCTTGCGTGATTTGATCACCAACGACCATGTAAAATGGGTTTTTCACTTCTACTTCTTGGATTTAATGTTAACATTTTGGGCATTTTCCACTCTGCAGATCCCTTGCTTTGTTCTTGTCCTATGTTTCTTGCTTCTTTTTCTATTTTGAGGAGATTGGGTTTTATGGTTTGTAGTTGCTAGCCAACTTTTGTTAGTTCGCATTTATGTTCAGTATGCAATTGAAGGACTAAGAGTTTTCGTTGTGGATATAGTACATGTACTTTGCACATGTTGAGTTTGGAAATACTGTTTTTCTTTCCTTGCAAATAAAATTAAATTTAGAGGGATAAATATGAAAACCACCATTTTAGATGGATTATATATATATATATATATATATATATATATATATATATACATATACATATATATATACATATATATACGCACACAAGTCAGTGAATGTTCACTGTGCATTAAAACGTTAGCTTCTTTTCTGGATACTGAGAAGCAATGATACTTTGTACTGTGGACTTGCGAGAGCAGCAAATATGGACTGAGATCGGAGAGAGTGAAAAGGAGAAAGACCATATGCTGGTGGAGTTGGAAAAGGAGTGCATGCAAGTGTACCGTAGGAAGGTTGATGAAGCCAGAAGCGCAAGGGCTCGCCTTCATCAATCTTTGGTCTCCAAAGAAGCAGAGGTTGCCTCTCTTATGGCCTTACTTGGTGAACAGCATCTCCAGCTGGAGGTACTAACATTTTTTGTTGCTTGTTTTCCTACTCCGCTATATCAAATGATTATGTTTGCTTGTTTACTCCCTTTTCTGATATCCATAGATAAGGAATATGATAAGCTTTCTTGCTGACTTCTTGATACCATTTTTTTTATTACCAGCTGAACTAAATTTCTAGTTATAATTTGGCCTAATGAGAAACTTATGTGGTAATAATTCATCTTGGCGTTCACATGGTTTAGATGTCACAGGGTAGCTTTCAAGAAATAGCTTTAGAGGGAGTTGATTTGATTGGGAATTTTTCAGCAGATTTTATCCGGCAACCTACAAGTATTATTAGTTTGCAGTAGTTCATCTCTAGCTATCATGTTTTTGTCCAGTCTTCCCCAAGGAGAAATCAGTGAGGATATCAGATCAGCTTTGCTTAGACATGGCATAGATATCACAAAGTGGTTTGTAAGTAACATGGAATTTGTAAGGAGTTTGCATGAGGCTAATAAACCGCATGTATCAATAATAATTAAGTACTAATTGAGCATTAGTAACCACATATAAAAATAATATTTGTCCATATTTATTTAAACTGTGCTGACAGTGGTTACTTATTTGATTTTCCTGCCATTATTGGATACATCTGTCGCTTATGTCTATATACTTAAAGGATGTGCCTTCCGACTATGTCATTACTGAATCAGAGACGATTCTGATGCATGTCTTGAGACATTAATTCACCATCGACCACCAAAAGCAATATGTGTAATAGGAAGGTAGAGAAAGATAAGGCTAGTAGGAATGCTGGTGTGTGAATTTATATTTTTCAAGAAAGATATTTAGGTAATGCATGCATAATTTTAAGATCTGCTTTATAAGATATTCCTGTTGATGGTCTCAGCAACGCTTGGAAGTTTATTTAATTCTTTACTTGTTTTCTTCCCAAACTTCTTCATATAGCAACAAATATTTTCCAGAAAAATCGATGATTTTGTGGTCCTTAAGATCAAAAACAATTATTTTGCCTGATCAATTAGCTAACATCGGTTGATGGATTGCTGCTCTGAATTGGCTTTTTGGTATGGTGATGCATGAACTACATGCTTCACAGCTATTGGCTACTTCCATATTTTCTGTATGCAGGTGGAGAAGGCTACATCACTGAAGGGAAAACTTGCTTCAGTTAACCCGATTTTGGAAAATCTCCAAAAAAAGAAAGAAGATCGTGTCAAGCAGTTTTCTGATATATGGTCCCAGATTGAAAAGCTCAATGTAGAGATTACAGGATTTAGAGATGCTGTCACGATTGAAGAACATGATTTATCTATAAGGAAACTTACTGAATATCAAACAAAACTACGAAGTCTCCAGAAGGAGAAGGTAGTTATTTGCTTATGCTGAAAATATTTTAAATGAATTTATACTCTCAGTGGCATCCTATTTCTGTGGTTCATCTTTCAAGCTAAGACTTCGAATTAGAGGACCATGGTTGGCAATGCATTTCTTTCTAGTCCTGTACATGCGGTGTGGAGGTGATGTCAGAAAGAAATAGCAAGCATGGCATTTTTTTCTAGTCTTATATTTTTTGTAAGGAGGTGATTTTGTCACAACCCAATCCGATTGGACAGTTGACCAATTAACTTGATAAACTTAGACCACTAATCCAAAATGTTTAACCCCAGATTAATACTCCTACATCCAATATGGATTAAATTGGGATGTCATAGATGTAGCATAGAAACACCATGAAAATAGAACAAATGCACCCACGGAGGCATAGCTTGAAATTTCATTTGCTATGTAAATCCTGAGAGATCATTTATCATTTACACTTCTGTGGTAGATAGTTTGGTTGACACATTTGCTTTTAAATTAAATTTCAAACATCCTCAAGATAATCTTTTGGCATTTTTCTTTCGTAAACCATAAATATATATATTTAAGAACAACAAAGTTCATTGGCCACCTCTTATTTCTGATAGAGTTTTTTTCTTTATGTTCTTATCCAGACATGATATTTGCAAAATCCTCATTAATAATAAATGGATATACTTAGAAGCAAAACTTGAGCATGTTCAAGTTAGTGTGTCCTGTTGGTATTCGGAGGAAAATGCACATGAGCGTCTGAGAGGAGTTCTTTAGTGGACCTGTTAGTAGTCTATGTGAGTTGCTGCCTTGAGATGTCTTATCATTTTTTATCTTATCATGGAATTACTTAATAAAGGAGTCCCGTATTTCAGTTTCTCACCTTTGTTGCTATTTTTCCTCTGATCATTATCATACATGTCATCTTGCTTCTATTAATGGATATTCAAAATCATGATTTTAACTCTACTTTTGATGTACAGATAAATATTATAATTCTATGGAGCTATTTGTATAGTAATATAATTGAACTATGAGATTACTATTCCTAAAATTTCTACGCAAAATATGAGACTCGTTACAGCAAGCAATATTACTAGGCACATAAGTATCTTGTCATCAGTACATATATGCTCTGCTATGTTGCACATAATTTTATTTGTACCAGTGCCATTTTGATTGCACTAGTTTGATACTGATCACAAATCTGCCGCTTCCAGTCCGATCGTCTTCATAACATCTTGGAACATGTAAATGAGGTGCATTCTCTATGTGGTACACTTGGAGTGGATTTCAGGAAAATAGTGGGTGAAGTGCATCCCAGTCTGCATGAGACATGTGGAGAAAAGTCCACTAATATTAGTGATACCACACTGGAAGGCCTATCTCAAGCCATCCTAAAACTAAGAACAGAAAAGAAGATACGAGTGCAGAGGGTGAGTAATATCTTGCAAACTTATTTTAAGATAATCATTGTCATAAGTCTGCTATCCATTATGGGCTGCAGTTGCAAGATGCAAGCGCATCACTTTTAGAACTGTGGAATCTGATGGATTCATCTGAAGAAGAGAGGAGGCCTTTCGAAAAGGTGACGATCAAGTTTCGATCCCCTGAAAATGATGTAATGTGTCCTGGTGTGCTCTCACTTGAAATAATCAAGCAGGTTGGACACTTGAATAGTGTTTTCTGTTATCGATATCTTGACAACTAGTTAATATCATCATAGTCTTTCTTTTTGACAGACAGAAGCTGAGGTCAAGAGGCTTAAACAACTCAAAGTCAGTAGAATGAAAGAACTTGTTCTGAGGAAAAGGTTAGAACTAGAAGAGATATGCAGATATGCACACATTGAACCAGATTCGAGCACAGCACCAGAGAAAACCTGTGCTTTGCTAGATTCTTGTATGCACTTGCTACTTCACATTTTTTGAGCCAAACTCAGCATTCTTACAGGCATCTGCTCCTCTTAACTCCTAGACCTTGATGATAATTTGTGTTCAGGTCTCGTTGATCCTTCGGAGCTTCTGACTAATATTGAGACACAAATTGAAGAAGCTAAAAAACAATCTATGACCAGGAAAGAAATCATAGATAGAGTAAACAAATGGCTCTTTGCGTGTGAGGAAGAGAATTGGCTTGAAGATTACAACAAGGTTGGCAATTCTGCATTCCTACCATTTTATAGTGTCTGCAACAATACAAGAAAATCATGATTACTTTTATCAATCATTAAGTTACAAGTATATTAATATAATGTGATCATTCTTGTTTCGTCTGCTGGGTGCAGGATTGGAACAGGTACAGTGCTGGAAGAGGCGGCCACTTGAATCTTAAACGCGCAGAGAAGGCACGGGTGATCGTCAGCAAAATTCCAGGTACTTATTATTATTTTTTTACATTCCGGCTACTTATTGGGTGACCCATACAGATGTTGTGCATTGACCATTATTAACTGCATAAAATCTTGTTTCCAGCTATCGTTGACAATCTGATGAGCAAGATCTTTATTTGGGAAGATGAGAGAAATGTGCCTTTCCTATATGATGGGGTAAGACATGTCTCTTCTATTCTTTTATGAAAGTATGGAGTGTCTAATATGAATTGTTCTCCTCAAGTTCTGAGCACGCTTTCCTATTGTTTGTTCCAGGTGCACTTGGTATCCATTCTAGAGGAATATAAAATTAATAGGCAACAGAAGGAAGAGGAAAAAAGAAGATACAGGGTAGACTTTGATTTCTTATCATTAGCACCTGCATTTTGAATTAGTTCTTGAAGATCATCTTCTTCACGATTGTAGGAACACAAAAAGTTGCGAAATCTTCTTCTCACAGAAAAGGAAGCAGCCTATGGATCCAAATCTACTCTAAAACCAAGCAATAGTTTTGACAGGAAGACAAACATGTATCTCACAAATGGATATGGCAATGGCTTCATGACTCCAATCCGACGGATTTCTGCTGGTGGTGCAACTCCTGAGCTGCTCACACCACGCTCACACTCAGGCCGATACAACAGCTACTTCAAGGAGGCAAGAAGACTGTCGGCTGTTGCTGTATCCAAGGAGGATGCAGTATCTTTGTTCGCATCGGTCGCAGGTTCGGGACCTGGGTCACCTCACACTTAACCTCAGGTTGTGTTATTTATATCGTGCTGGCTACCAGTCCATTAATGTTCACTTACATCAGTTCCTACATCTATTTCTCACAATAAGATTGGTGATTTGAGAGCAGTTCAAATGATTTGTCCCTTGTAGAGTCTACTAATTAGAATGTGGAGTTAAAGGAACTAAAATGGCATGCTCTGTAGACCTCTGCTGAACTATAATTGACTTGTCTTTACTGAGATGCACCATGGAGCTCCCTTCATGCACACATGATCATTCAAATTCTCTGTTCTCTCTACAGTTCATCAACATATATTTCCAAAGGGGCAGTTATCAGGCAGAAGCCAAATTTGAGCTATCATGGCCTCTCTAAAATATGTAATCTTTTGAGTTCTTTTTATCTATCTTTCAGTGACATCAATTCTGTAAAAGAAAATTCATCAACAGGAGGATATTGGCGGCATTGGATAGTGGTAGCTATTTTTCTATACATGTGATTGTTCTAGCAGCAACCTTGGTTTTAAGGAATCAATCACCTTTATTATCTTAACTGTTTCATGTTACATTAAAGTAGAAATAAAAAAGGACTCAGAAATCAAGCAAAGATAGAGTCGCAATTTTGTTGTTGTCACTGACAGACTGATCACTCTCTATTATATAAATTGCATGTAATGATCTAATCAACAGCTTGCATGTCGTACTTCACTTAGAAATCGAGCTTAGCAGATTATGAAAGCAATAGCTGGCTCTCGATTGAAGCACCAATGGAGACCAGGAGAACAATTAAAAGCCAGCAACAATTGCTCACCCAATGAACTTAATAGGGATGTAGAATTGTTAGCAAGAACTAATGCAAAGATCAAAGAAGAGTGGTGCGAAGGGACCACTCTAAGATATGAAGTTACAGATCGATAGCCTGATAGAATTTAGTTGCAGCATCCAACTCAGTGCTGCTCACTACTGTTTCCAGAGTGAAGACGAATGCATGGAATACCGTAACAACAACAACAACAACAACAACAACACCATCGATACCATCTTCAAAGTAAATGCTCATCAGTAAATGTTTATGGACAGAAGTCAATGCCCGAACCATCACCACTTGCTGCATGAAGAAAGGAAAGAATGGGATTGAAGCAAGGGAAAGGAGAGAAGGAAGCAGGCCTAAAGAAAGAAACCTGAAGGACAAGTAGGATTTATGACAGCAGCAGAAGAGGAGAAGCAGGCAATGGTGCGTTCTTGACTTCCTTCATCAAGTTCTTGTAAATGTAAAGACTGACGGGTTCCTGTAAGAGAATCAGATTGTCCTGCGCCTAGCAGCAGCAGCAGCAGCATCTTAAAGTTGGAATTGAAGCCCCCTCAATGGAGGGAAGCATTCAAGGCCAACTAACCAACACAAGAAGACCCACTTTAATCCCGTCTTGAATGCCACATCGAAGGCCTCAAGAGACTCCATCAGATCTGTAGCAGTAAAGAAAGAGCTGATGGGAGAGAGAAGAGGGGAGACGTAGCTCGGGAGAGCATCAGGCATCCGCACAGTTCAATGCAACCTTTATTTGCTGAACTGTGGTGCCGATCAAGTGATTCACGGTCATTACTGACTCCATGTTGAGTTTGGCGGACGGCAAGCTGCTCAAGTGTATTTGGTACGCGACAGTCACCAGCGAGCCAGATGAGCCGACCATCGGAGTCGAGCTGGACGATGCTCCTTGTCCCCCGGCAGATCGCCCGTCCGGTAGTATGGCGAAGCCCGACGGCAACAGCGGAACGTAGGATGGATCCTCGCCGCTCATGACGATGTTGATGGCCGGTAGGTCGATGGGGGAGTAGACCACCACCGACCCTGACGCGTCGGTACAGCACTCCTGGAGTAACAACATGGTGTTCTGGGAAGAACTGAGCCCCTGTTCATTCACAAGTAAACCCTATTTACGAGAGTTCCAAGGCGAGGAAGATGAATGCACGAGAGAAAGAAAGCATACACGAAGAAGAGAGATGCAATTCCCCGGATGAGAGCCATTCGTGATGTGAGCCACCTCTTGTAGCGTGTTGCCATTTGATAGAATGTGCCACTGATTAATGACAACAATAACATACCCAAAGTAAGAAAGAGAGCAATCGAGATCGAAGTAGACATCTCAAGAAGCTGCATGCATGGGCACCTGAGTGCGAGTTCGCTCGTCCTTAAACAAGCTGAAGACCCGCTCAGCTGACACGGGCAGCCATATTGAGGTTGCGGCACAGAGGACGACGCCGCTGGGCTGGCCAGCATCTGAGGTTTTCTGAAGCACAACCCTGACGCCGACGTCGTTCGACCCTGACACGTTCGTCCATTTCTGATCGCTCGATGCACCAACGTTGGCACAGAAGTTGTTCACCATCCTCTGAGCAAGCTTCATCATGCTCCTCTTACCATCGGGGGAAGAAACCACTGCATTCCGCAGTACGAATCATAGTCGTCGAACGATCAGCAACTCAACTACTGGGTGTAAAACCTTGAAGCAAAACCAAGCCTTACCTCCGAGGTCTCTGCCCGGGAGACCAGCGACGTTTGAGCAGGCAAACCTCTCGCACATTCTACGGAGGGTGGTGATCCAGCGCTGTGCTCCAAATGCCGTCCCGCTGTTGATTAGATCCTTGAACAGGACGTGGGGTTGATCATTTGCATCGATTTCCATGTGTTCGACCCAAGTAATCTACATCAAAATCATCGATGTGATTCTGTCAAAAGGTAGATAAAGGAGCAGAAGCACAAAATCCATAGATCAATCACCTTGGAATAGCCATCGGGCGTTTCCTCGATCAAGCAGCCTGAAGGAAGCCTCCTTGATCGGGGAGAAAGGCCGAGCTGGTTGTCTCTTGGATAGTCCACCGAGACATCGGCCACCACCCACATACCCGATTCGATCTGCTGGCAATACCGCAGAAAGCAGAACTCGCGCGTAGGAACAAGAGGTGAGAGAACTTGCAGCTCCTCGTACATCTGCATGCACATGCATTTGCGTGTATTAGAATCATCGAAGGGGTACTGTGAGTGGATTAAACCAAAAAAGGGATCGAGAGCTGTCGTTACCAACACCAAAGAGCCGCTTCTGCTGCTGGCCATCCCGGCTGCGAGGACCTCGATGGTCCTCGCCTTGGCAACAATGCTGGGAAAAAGCTCCGCCCACTTGCTCGCATCCATGAACATGTCGATCAATGTCATAGCATTCATGGCGACAGGAGCCGAGTCCCTCGACGTCTCAGTTCGAGTGTGTGGGAACCTGAGATGCTGGCCTGACCTCTGGAACATCCTGTCGTAGATTTCAAGCTGAAGTCTGTCCCTGCCATCACTTCCGGACTTCACCCACAGGGGTTGATCGGTCTGCACAAGCCTGAGAACTTCCTCCGCTGCACCAGTGGCCATCTCCACCATGAGAGGTTTCTCAAGCTCGGAAACGGCTGGGGTGTATGGGTACGGGAAAGCAGAAGAACAATTCCGGCGCAGGAGATCAAGATCGAGGGTAGGGTTCACCTCTGGACCACTGTAAACCCCAACTGATAAGTCCAATGATGAAACAGAGACTGGCTGCACTGGGGGAAGCTGCGTGACAGGCCTTCCAAGGTATTTTGATGCAATACTCGAGACATGATCAAGCTGCAAGGCGGGCATTAACATGAAGAATTCGGAAGAAGCATCATAGTCTTGTATTAAACAATCATGTGCAGGCATGTTTATGTAATCTATCATCGAATCCGATTGATGCAGACTGCCTTTTTAAATCAAGTGCAAACTTCAATCGATCAATACAAAACAATGTTCTGTTTCCTCCATGCTGAAGTAGCCAAAAAAAAAAAAGCATATGAAATGGGATGACCAACTAAACAACCAAGCAGATGGTGTCAATTGAGGCTTCATCCATCATGACAAAAGCACACTGGTTTGAGTTTTCTTATCAATATCAACCAAGCACTAAGATGAGAACAGATGACCAAGTAGGCTGATGGCTTTGCTTTCTCCTGGCCGGAGATGGATCTACCTTTGTTCCAGTATCAAACAGTGGAACCATTGTTCTTCTGAAGAGATATCTCAAGTGCATACAAGCCAAATAGCAGGGTGGAGGTAACTAAAAGGAAAGATAGATTGAGCGTACCTCTTCCTTCAACCTTGCGTTCTCCATCCGCAGCTTCTGATCGTCGAAGTAGGAGTCCTCATGGGTGGGAGGGCCGCCACAGGAGGGGCAGATGACGCTCTTGAGAGCCTCCATCATGGCGATGTTCTCGGCCCGGATCTTGTCGTTCTCGGCACGCAGCACGCAGTTGTCCGCCCTATCGTGTTGCGCCTGGGAAGAGCAGCAGGGTCGATCAGACGAGGCAGAGGTGGCTCCTCTTCGGACCCACGCGCAAAACAAGACCAATCCTTCCACCAACAACACTAGAGAAAAGAGGAAAGAGAGCAAGGGAGGAGCAGTGCTTGCCTTCATCTGCGTCCTCCGATTCTGGAACCAGAACTTGATCTGTCGCGGCTCCAGCGCCAGATCCCGGCTCAGCTGCATCCTCTGCTTCTCGTCCGGGTGCGGACAAACCTTGAACATCCTAAACAACAAGCTCAGACAAACCCGTCAGATACAAGCCGCCATGATGAGCCTCAAAGCAGGGAAGAAAACAACACAACGACCAGTACAGATATACGAGAGAGAGAGAGAGAGAGAGTGAGAGAGAGAGAACATACGATTCAAGCTCTTGAATCTGCCTCGGGGTGTGCCGGTGGTACCGCTTCTTCCTCCCCTTGGCATCGGGGACGTCCTGTTCGTCGCCGGAATCCATCGAGCCCAACTTCCAACTTCTACTTGCTCTAAACTACTACCATCCGCTAAAGAAGCAGCCAGTTCATGCAAGTCGGCGTCTTTCTTCTCTGCTTCGCTCTGTTCCCCTGTTCACGCCCTCTTCTCTCTCTCTCTCTCTCTCTCTCTCTCTCTCTCTCTCTGTTCTCCCGATGCTTCGTCCTTAAAGGTGGCGCCTTTCCTCTCTGCTTCGGCTGCTCTCTCTCTCACACAAACACACACTTTATGGTGCTTGTCCGGGTGAAGGGATCGGGCGAGAGGCAAATGAGGAAACTGGCGGTGCGCGCACCAAAGACACCGGCAGCAATCCGGGCGGATTCGACCCCTCCCTCCCCCCTTAATGAAGACTCACACACAAGCTTTCGGCTCTGCCTCTCCTTCCTCTCACGGTGTCTTCGAGGCCAACAGTAACCGACGCGATCTAATATGCCGGGGCTTAGAAAATGTCGGATTTTGACGGTGTATTACTTCCTCCTCAACCCACATATTTATATATGCAAGACATATTTTATGTGTAGATAACAACCAATTAAATTTTATTTTTCTACCTTTTCATACCTCCCTCATATGAAGAACTATAGAGATGTAGTTTGGCAAAAATATACATGTAAATTATTCCCCTTTTTTTTTTAATGGTGTGACCTTCTCCTTTTGTGCTGATATGTTTAGCTAATATTAATTTGGTTGTCTTATGGAATGATACAGCTTTGAGAATTAAAGATGGGACAGCAGAGGGAGAGACTATTAATATGCCAGCTCTCATTCTTCTCTCTCATGTATCTGGTTACTCTCCGACACCGGAAAACTCTGATCACACGCCAACACTGCAAGCAAGAAAATTACAGGTAAGTGTATGCAACCAGAAGAGAGATAATAAATAATGAATGAGCACACTCTATCTGGGAATCAAGTCAGTGACATGGGAACTCCAAGTTCATCATGGGGGAGGGGAGAAGTGAGAAGTGAGAAGAGGTGGGTGATCCATTCGGTGACGAGGGAGTGACTTCTACTACTGTAGTCAGTGCTAGCAATCAAGATTATGTGTCAGCTCAGCAGAGTTGGAATGGTTTAATGGCTCCCAGCAGAAATTGTTGGTGCACAAATTTATGGTGGCCAGCATCATCCTTGATTGAGATCAGATTGTGGAGACTCTGCATGAAAACTTGGCCTCCATATAATGATCTTGCCATGGCCTTACAATATGTCTCAGCTATTTCTTTTTATTTTATCAGCAATTGGGTGGGTAGTTCAAAGCTGTTAAGTAATCTTACCTTAATCGATTAAGAATTTTTTTAAAAAAAATTATTGGGTAAAAATTATCTTTAAAAATATATCATATCATGTAAGAAAGTACATACTATATTTTTCTAACACCATCCTTATCTGCTTAATTATTTCGATCAAACCTCTTCTCTGATCCTTCTAAATAAGGGACAACCTAGTATAATAAGTATCGTATTTTTTAACTTTCAAATTTAAAATCAATTAAGTTCTTGAGTCATATGATTGGGATTAAGAGCGAGACAAGTGAAACTAATACGCATATGAAATTGAAGTAAGATAGTATTATGGAAATCCCTTAGAGCCATTTTTTAGTTTGTCGATGGTCGAAAACTTTATAACATAGTCTTTTAGAGCACATTGTAATAAATTATGTTGGATAAACTGCTTAAGTTGATCATTATTACCTTCAACGGGATGTTAGGATTAAAATATTTATTTTTTCAAGATAAAACCTTAGGCATAAGTTATTTCGACCAATATGCTATCCCTCTCCTAAGGTGAGCTAACCCACGATAAGATACTCAATTGGGCCCTATGGTTCGACGATGACTCACTCTAATATTAAAAATATTTTTAAAATAGTCATGCTTTATAAGTATTCATTTAAGTCACAATAATCTTACGTATCGTGACTATTGGATTAATCGTCTTTGAAATTACCTCTTCTTACGGTGAGATCCTTTTACGCTAAGTTGTTCAAAGAAGCATCTTCTCATTGATTTGTAAGATGTCTAAGTTGGGAAGCTAAAAGCTCAAAAGTACAAATTCCTACTGAATTTGGCTTGTAAAAAGATAAATTATAAACTTTACCCCTATTACTATCTTCTCATATATGATATGTTACCACATGTGTCTTAGGCGTTAATCCATCTTGTATAAATGTACATGTACAATTGGATGTGGTTCAACACCCAATCGAGCTTCAATGGAGGGATGATAGCTCTTGGAACTCCATCTTGATCTAAACTGACGATTGAGGTGTTGGAGGGTTCCAATGTGAATGAAGTGGGAATGATATGTTGTATTAGATTCTTATTTATGCAAAGACATCGGTGTCATTATCTCGTGAATTGATTCCTATCAAAATGGATGATGTTGGATTAGTGACAAAGTTTTCATACATATAACACAGTTAGCATATCAATAGAAGCATAAATAATACGTATATATTATCATCGTATAAAGATATATTTTATAATATGTATGTTTTAGAAATATGATGTATGATATGCTTCTATTATCATTTTTTGAAGTTAAAATACATACTTTTTCTCGTAATGCACAAAATTATTTCAATTGTTATTTGAAGTAGATATAAACAGTAATGACTGTTTTAAATATGTTTTTCAATAAAAAAAAGATATAGTGCTATGATTTAATAAGCATAAGTATGACGACAGACTTAAGTATAAGAATAAGCATACACCCGATAATTAGAAGGGATTTTTATATTATAGTAAGTCTTAAATGATTCTAATGAATATAATCATATTTAAAGAAATAAATTAGAAATTTAAACATCATATATGCGAAAGATAATAAGAAACTTATGATGAGTAATGAATAATTAAGTAAAGAAAAAAAATATTAAAATACATTGAAAATATTAAAATACATAAGTGAGATTAAAAGATAGATCTAAACCAAAATATGTCATCTTTGCTAATCCAAATTAAACTTAAAATTAGGTAATGAGAACCCTAATATTATGTTAAAAAAAATTGAGAGGATGTCAAATGGGATTGAACCCAAGATCTTTTAGCTGCCTCTTAAGCAACTCACAAGACATTGCCTCTCTTTTTTAGCTTCATCCTCAACAAACTAGGAAGCCATGAACTCTTTCTCTTCTTTTTTAACCATTTTCCCAGCTCCTCTTTATTTTTATGAAATCCAAGAACCCTAGGTTTAAGGAACAAGAATGTAAGAAAACCAATATCTTCCTAAATATAACCTAGGATTTTAGTTTAGCAGATTCTAGACTAAAATTTTCAGCTATTTTTTATTAAATTAGAGTTTAATTTAATCTCTGATTTTTGAATATGTTGTTATGAATTTATTATAATTTATTATGAATTTGAGACAAGTGTATATAGTTATGGGTGTTCCACTGGCTGTTTAAAATCTCATATTTTCAGTAAGGGTTTATATTCAAGTTTGAATTCACGCTTTAGCATCTATTCTATTGGTATATTTTAAAAGTTTTCAAATCGAATAAATATCATCTCCAAGATATTAGTTTTAGAAGGACAATCTTAATCTTATGATAATTTTATTTTGAGTTGAAACTTTATATATATTTAGTTTTTTTTTGTCTCTAGAGTCTCTATAAAATTTTATGATAATCTAATATTGTTTGATTAGCAATAGTAATAAAGCAAGATTACTTTGTAGAACTATTGCTACTCATAGATGCTCTACAAACCAATCACGTGAGTGATAGCATGTATAACACGTTGAACCATCTTTTTGCTTATTATTATTATTAGTATTTTCTCACTTTATGTTGCATGTTGTATATATTGTAATATTCATTGATCTATGTAATAGGAATCAGATCATAATGAGATCGCGATAATGAGATCGATTCATCTTTAAGCATATACCCCAAATAATCATGGTCGTAGTCACTCGAGAGGGACATCGAGATAACCGGTCAAACTGATGTATTGTATACCTGTCTATATGATGGAGGTGGGTAGTCTCACAATTACTCGTATGGGGACACTAGGGATATAGTGCAAGTATTTATTGAAGAATGAGTTTACTAATTAATATGCTTACAGAATGTTAAATAGTTGATAATACCTCAGCAATTCTTTGATCATAGTTGTATATTTGATCCTTAAACTTGAGACATAAAGGATATCATTTATGAGTACTATACTCTTTGATACCGGATTTATAGGTTTAGAAGTTTCAGATCTGGCATCGCTGATCATTAGGAGTGGTAGCTGATCATCCACTCTCAGTATTATGAGAAAAATATCACGTGTGTTCTTGCCCAGACAAATCCATAGCCAAAGTCATTCGAATTGATAGAGAAAGAATTCTCCGGGAGAATCCAATTAAAGTGAGACTTGAGTAAATTTTGTATTGGCCTGATAACACCATACTTAATATACGGTCTCTAAGATATTAGATGGATGAATGACTATAGATATACGATAATTGAGGATAGACAAGTCTGGATTGAATTCCCCTATATCGTTTGGGGATTACGACGTAGTGATATAGTACATCCATAATCGATGAGTCGAGTGAATTATTATGAAGATAATAATTCACTAAGCCAGAAGGAGTTCTGACAGATATGACTCACGACCAACTCAATATTGGGCCTAGAGGGTCACGCATATATAATAGGTCTTGTAACGAGTAGAGATTCATATATAAGATATTCGTTGGAGTCCCTATCTTATTGATATCCAATAAGCCCTTGAATTATTAGATCTTGTAGATAAGATCCAATAAGAGTCAATAATAAATATTGGGTAGACCACCATCTATACTCCTCTTTCTCTCTCCTCTCTCCTCCTCAATCAATAACCATAATTTGTGATGACCCCTTCTTGATCATGTGCATGAAATGGAGGATTGTGCAGTGATTTGAATAGCATTTTCGTAACGCCTACCATGTGTATCGTCGCTAAAGAGGAGAATAGTTAACCTCATTCATCCTCTTCTACAGATCTATAAATTTTCAGGGATATACGATCTCCCTAGGTAACTTATCTTTATATATATGTGTGGGGGGGGGGTTTCGATTTTA